ATGAGACTTTGGACTTTTGAGTTCGTGCTGCAACAAGCTAAAGACTTTTGGGACTGGGATGGAATGTGTAATATGTAAATGTAAGGGTCATTTATCCTTGCTAAGGGAACATCGAGGAAGATTCTGAACACGTAGATTGTACGGCGAGGGACCCTGAAGGGGTGGATTGTTGGGAAAATAGAATAGTTTGCTCAGATGCCCTTGCCTCAGGGCATGTTCAGGGTGGTGCCATGCATTCTTGGTAAGAAAACTGTGTGTGTGGGCAGAGTTTGTGCGCATGCACAGAGCCATGACCTTGGCTGGCGTCTGCCTTGGGCATCCGCCCGCGTGGCCATGCTCTCCAACCTATGGCTTCCAAGGGCCTATTTGCCGGTTACCTAGATCATAGACCAGCATGTGAGGGGTCTGGTGACCCAGCCTGGCGTGTGAGGGGTCTGGGGACCCAACTTGGCGTGTGAGGGGTCTGGGGACCCAGCCTGGTGTGTGAAGGGTTTGTGACCCAATCTGGACAACAGGCTTGAAGGGTCTGTGAGCTCCAGACCCAGCCTTAGCTCGACAGTTAGCCCAGTTGGCAGGATTACGGGCTGGTAAAAGAGCCCGACAATTGGCCCAATCAGCAGGATTACAGGCAGATAAAAGAGCTCGACACCATATTTCTCCAAAATCTTTACTCCCCAACACCATGCATACAAACACACCACTGTCTCAGCAGATTTACTGAGTCCAGAGTGCTTTGTAAGAAAATTATAGACATATTTTTAAATGAAAGAATGGTGATAAAAATTAAAACCAAACCAGGAGATAAAGTGATTTGACAGCATTTCTGTTTAAGAATCTTTTCTGCACTGCCCCTTCAATTCCACTTTTATATTGTTAAGCCTTAGCATGAAAGGCATGTGACTTGTGCTTCAATTTCATTGTCTAGGATTTTCCTTAGAGATGCTGCTGATCTGTGCCAAAAGTCTGGGATGTATGCACCATTTCTGTGTGAGTTTTCTGGTTGAACTAGGCTTAATTAGATTCTCTTTTCTTTTGTTTTCTCTTCAAAAAGTTGGAAACCATTTTGTTATTCCTGGGTTGTAAGGTTAAGTAAAACTCTTGGGATCTAATCTGGCATTTACTCAGGCCTTGTTAAATGAGAACTTTAAAAACCTCTTGCTGAGTAGGCTCCATCATTTTTGACCAAATGTTTCAAGATGTAGGCACAAATTGTTTTTGTCAGTTTTTCAAGTGTGTGTAATGGTGTGCTTTTCTACTTGGAAAGATTAAAAGACACAGGAGTGGCAAGTTTAACAAGATCACGTTCATCTCCTTTGTAAGTTTCTGTTACACATCTGGTTTACTTGGAAGCAGTGCTGAACTTGACTTATGTGACTATTTTGTCTATGAGAGATAGCAAGATTTTTCTCTTTATGTAAGGCAACTAGGTAACAGTTGTTTCCTTCCGATGGCTATGTGAAAAGGCTGTTACACATCTGGTTTACTTGGAAGCAGTGCTGAACTTGACTTATGTGACTATTTTGTCTGTGAGAGATAGCAAGATTTTTCTCTTTATGTAAGGCAACTAGGTAACAGTTGTTTCCTTCCGATGGCTATGTGAAAAGATACAGTTCCTTCAGATTACTCTTGGCCCTGCTCCCTCTTCCCCTCCAGCACAGCAGATTTTGTCTTCAATCTATCCTATCTTCTGCTCTTTATTTTACATACCTACCATCGATGCATATTAACATACAGGTGAGTCAGAGTTAAAAGAGAAATTGGCTGCAAGAATTCTTAAAGACTTTAGATATTGTGATATACATGGGAACCAATCTCCTGTAGTCAGCACTGAAATAATGGAAAAGTAGAGTCATCTTAATTCATAATAGTATAAGCATGAGACAATTGAATTAGCAGGAGAACTGTCTGGAACAGCCTCGGTAATCAGAGCCATGGCCCAGAATCAGCCAGGCCAGTGACTGTCCACAGATGTGGAGGTGTCAAAGACTTGTACAGTTCAAGTCCTGCTGATAATGTCCATTTGTACTGAGTCATTGTAGGTGCTTCCGATTCCATCAGCCTTTTTTCACAGGGGTCTTACCTTCCTAGAACTTAAGGTTACTAAATATGAAAAACATCTCTGCCTAAGTTTCCTTTCTACTTTGGAGATAGAAACCTTTAAAGATAACCTTTAAAATCACTATTCTTTCGTACATTTGGAAACTGAAGCCAGAGAGGTTAAGTGATTTACACAAAATCACACATGGCTTCTTGGCTGAGCTGCAGTTAAACCTGAGTCTCTGGCTTCCCAAATTAGTGTTCCTTCACTGATCCATGCTGTCTTTACTTATCCATTCAATTAGCAAATGTAATTGAGGGGACTCTAATTAGTTTGGCTCCTAAAGGCTTTTGTGGTTAGTGTCAGACTGGCAACATGTTTTTTTTTACTCCAGCTTTTGAGTCGTGGCCAAATTTTGTCAGTCAGTTATTTCAGAGTCTTGAAGTCATCACATTGATGGCAAGATTGTTTGAATGTCTGTCTGTCTAATAAACATGCCTTCGTAGTGCAAATTAGAGACTGTTATTAAGATGTTCTGAATGTATGTAGTCATTAGCTTTAGAGTGGTTATGGCTAGTACAGTGGTAACATTCCAGCTATCACTATCATTGTGTGTTTTTTCTTGGCCTGTGAGCTTTGCCATTACTTTCCTATATAATTGAAGGGTTAGCAGTACTCTGGCAACCCAACCATACCAAGAAGCAGATGCAAGGGATGCAGGGGGCTGATTGGTCACCCCATGCACTTGGCAGTTGCATGAATTGGCACCACCAGTTGATGGGCATGAGAAGCTTGGAGGTGAGCTAATCTCAGGTCTGTTAGCTAATTGTTGACGTTCTTCAGGGCACCTCTCAAGGAGTATGTAGATGGCATTGAATTTCTTTTAATGGAGGAGAACTCTTTTAATTCCTAAGAGGAAGTCTGAAATGGACTCTTAGGCTTCAGGGCTTACTGATGTCCCTAGAGCTAGAGAGATGGAGCTGCAGTAGAAGGAAAGGCAAGAAGGAATTGCTTTACAGTGCATTTACTTCAATAGAGTAGGGATGTGAAAATGGGGCTCTGTAAGTAGCCCATATTCTTGATATAGTCCAGGAGTAGAGAATTATGACTCCTGCGTTTTCTTTTCTTATCGCCTTGTTTTACTCAGCTGTATTTTTCTTGAGTAAACTGTTTGCCAGGAAATAGTTGCCTCTTTGAATCTCAATATTTATTTGGGTGTACGAAAGGTTTCCATGTAACTTAAGTATTTTTTTGTAATTTGATGGAAATTGTTTTTCGTTTTCATTATTTGTGGCAAATCCCTATTATATGTAAAAATATACATATTGAATGTACCTCACTGTAGACTGTGAAATGCTGCATTGTCTTTAGAATGAAACCTTGAAAGAGAGAATTTTTGTTTGTTTTAGAGTCTGAGTTTTATAATATCATTTCCTACCCTGTTAATATGCGGTGTGCTAGGATACTTGATTGTCTGACATTTTAAAGAATGACTTATGAAATTGCTTTATGTTAAAACTGCATTTACCCAGAATTTGATTTAGAATCTGATAGTCTCTTGTGGAAAATTGAAATGTAATTACTTCTAGCTAATAATATTTAGATTACACTCTGTTTCTGGCTTCCCATTCTTTCACTTTCACCAGATGCACATAGAAGGTAAAAAGCAAATGTTATGTAAACTTCCACCACATGAAAATCAGAGGCATTCCCATTCCTAAGATGCTTACATGCCACTTCACGTTTTCTAGTAGAAAAATATGTCAATTGCTGTATGTGTAGTATACTTAGAAATACGTCAGTTTTTACATACGTAAATAGTTATGGAGAGAAATCTTCAGTTATCTGCCTGATAGTCCTTTGTCTTTTTTTAAATGAAGAGAGAAAAGGCTTCAGAGAAGCTTTTATGATAATTGGGATGATGGATTCTTTCTATTAAAGGAGAGTTTGAGTTAAGGAGTGAGCCTCTGGTGGCTTCTGACCTCTTTGGTTGCCAACTGGCAAGGTATATCAAGGTGTATATGTGAAAGAGAGCCAATGCTGGGGTGGTGGGAGAGTGAAAGGCACACACACAGGATGGACAGACCCACTTTCCTTTACAGTATGATTATGGTCATTATCAAAGCAGAAATGAGGGTTGAGAGAGTGCCTTGATGTCTCTCTTGAACACTGTATATTGTTTCTGCATGCATGCTGGTAGCTCACACTATCAGCCTTCCTGGTGGTACTCAGAGTCACTGTGGAGAATGCTCATGCCTCTGTCCTGACCTTTTCTTTTCTGAAACTGGCTTTTTTTTTTTTTTTGATTGAAAATAGAGACCGGATGATGATGATGGTAGGGGCTTGAGATTTTGCTAGGAGATTTTGCTGCTCACCAGCTCACTAGTGAATCCTATGGTTGGACTACCAGCTCTGTTGTACTAGAATGTTTTTCCCAGTCAGTGCATCTATACCAAAAAGTATGCTGTTTAAGAATCCAGGTTGGGGCCGGCCCCGTGGCGCACTCGGGAGAGTGCAGCGCTGGGAGCGCAGCAACGCTCCCGCCGTGGGTTCGGATCCTATATAGGAATGGCCGGTGCGCTCACTGGCTGAGCGCCGTGCAGACGACACCAAGCCAAGGGTCGCGATCCCCTTACCGGTCACGAAAAAGACAAAAAAAAAAAAAAAAAAAAGAATCCAGGTTGAAGGAACAATGAGCAGTGTTTGTTCCCAGGACAGTTTGGTTTTGCCCTTTTCCCCTCACACTTTTAAAAATAAACAGATTTGATTCCACAGAAACTGCATCCATATGTGTATGAGGAATGGACCCTTTATTTTAGGCAGTTGCTTTTTTTTTTTTTTTGTCAGTTGGAAACAAGGATTAGTTTTTAAGCACTGTCATTGTTATAGGCATGCATAAAAAATGTGCTCTGGAAACTTTCATTTTAATTTAAATAATGCACCTTTGCAATTTTTTTTAAAGGTAGTGTCTTCCCCAGCAGATGTAGCTGAAAAAGCTGACAGAATTATTACAATGTTGCCCACCACTATCAATACAATAGAAGCTTATTCTGGAGCAAATGGAATTCTAAAGTATGTATTTCTCAACTGTGGATATTTTCTTCTTATAATAGTTCATGAATTTCGCATTTGTAAATTTACTTTTAGTAAATTACAGTTATATTTGTTAAACTTGTCCATACTGTTTTCTTATTTCATAAAGTGAATAGTGTGGTTTCTTTCTCATTGTAAAGGTTTATTTTTTTTACTGAAGTCAAGTATGTGACTTTTGGGAATAAGATTTTTTTGCTTCTGTTTCTTTTCCTTAACTCTTCCATCAAACTTATCCTTTCATTGGTAACATGTTTAAAAGACTTTAAAGCTTGCATTTTAAACTGTACAGCTATAACAAGCATAATTTTCTTATGGCTTATAGAAATTCAGAAAAAGGTTTCTATGAAAAATCAAACATTGGAAAGAACACCATTATTTAACATTTTATTATATAATAAAAAGTTATGGTATGTTCTTTGGGTTAGTACATCTGTAGTAAGAACTTTGGGAAGTTGGAATTAAAGGTTAGCAGTAGCTCTTTAAAGAAAATATAATTTAGGGTTTCCTTGTCAGTGCCTAGCTTCCCTGGCTTAGAACTTTTTGGTTAATTGCTGCTTATTGCCAAACCCTTGTGGTTCTGTGAGGATGACAGTGGTTGAATTCCCAACTTAGATTTCTGGTCTTACTGGTTCCTGTTCCTAACTTATTTTGTTGTTGAATTTCGTCAAAGATCTAGAACCAACTGGTAGGCCCTATAGATACATGAAGGGCTAAAAGGAAGTGTTTGATTTCAGGAAACTGTAATACATGAAACTTGAGGTTTTTGGAGATTGAATTGCTTTGGAAAACTAACAAACTTGGAAGCAAAAGACACTTGGATATTAGACAGAAAACTGATAAGATAAATGTTTAGATTTCAGGGAAGGTTGAAAGACACTCATTTTGGATGGAGCCCTCAAGCCCACAGTGTGTGTGGTCCTGAGGCATCCTAGCTGTCTCATTACCTAGCCTGTTTCAGTTAGGACCCTATTTTCCCTCTCAAATGCTGCTAAAAACTTGTGTGGAGACATAACTCTACATTTATTAATATCCTTTACTAAGGAATATGGCAGCTGGCTACCAGAACAATTTTGTCTGGGGAATGCTTTGAAAGAGTTTGGTTTTACATTGAACTGTAATTTGTTTCTCGTGGGTGGTTCTACATTTTTTTCTGGGTCAGGATCATTTCACCATACCCAGTGCATGTGTAATTATTGAGATGATTTCCCATTTGTTTAAAGACTTAAGATCTTGAAAATATCATGAACACAGAAGACTGATAAACTTAATTCTGTGTGTGTGTGTGTGTGTGTGTGTGTGTGTATCTGTGTGTATCTGGCAACTGGCCAGTACGGGGATCGAACCCTGGACCTTGGTGTTATCAACATTATGCTCTAACCAACTGAGCTCACCTGCCAGCCTAATATTCTTAATATTTAAGTTACATGAAGTGAAACATACACACTGAGATGATGTCTAATCGAGTATATTATTTCTCTTCTGTGGAATATATGCAAGCATTGCATTTGAGCTTGAACAATGTATATGTCTGAAATTGTTGTTTGAACTATTTCGTTTGTTATTTTTTTCTATAGAAAGGTTTTATTTACTTTTCTTTTTAGTATTTTTTGTCAATGATTTTTCTGTTTCTCCTTCACTTATCTATATTTATTCAGTTCTGATTTTTTCAGTCATGATTCTGTGTCCTCTGGGTTAATATATCAGTAGTAAGAACTTTGGGGAGTTTGAATTAAAGGTTAGCCATAACCCTTTAAATAAATTATAATTTAGGTCAGAGTGTCCTAGCCAGTGAAGATATAGATAGTAAGGGAACTATGTAGGTATAATTCTATACTTACAGTACAAACAAAAATGTTTTACTGTAAGAATACCATTTGAATATTGATGTAAAATGTGATATATGAAGAGACTGCTTCTCCCTTTACCAATGTATGTATATAAACTTATATATAAAGAACAAAAAGACTTGGTGAGATTTCTACATTAATTCCTATATTTTCTTTCTACCAGTTTGATATATTATTTTGTCTTTAAAAAGTTGCAGTTATAAAAGAATATGCCATCCTGAAGCAAATGGCTAGATTTCAATTGCTTACATTTATTCTACCGAGTGGAAATGATATGGATACATGAAATTCGCAATATAGCTTGTTAAAGACAAATAAATTAAGACCCATCTATTTTATAAACAAAAATCTAAATCCTGTCAAATACAGGACTAAGGTTAATAAGTTAAATTAAATGTTAGCTTCACCTATTATGAAGTATTATGGTTAGTGTGTACTTCACCTGAAACCAGAATTTATATCATGTAGTTTATTAGATTTTTTTTGTTCATTTGAGACAGTTTGGGTTTATTTTGAACTATAATTGATTTGAAAATGAATGTGAAATTTTTGAACCAGTTCTAACTAATAATGATTTAAATACTAAACAAAAGACCTCCTTGATATCTGGCAGCTTCTAGCAGATTCTGATTCTATAGGTAGTTGCATGGAATGTTTATTCAGAGTGGTAAACAATAAATATTTTTATTTATTTACTTAGAAAAGTGAAGAAAGGCTCATTATTAATAGATTCCAGTACTATTGATCCTGCAGTTTCAAAAGAATTGGCCAAAGAAGTTGAGAAAATGGGAGCAGTTTTCATGGATGCCCCTGTTTCTGGTGGTAAGTGGTAGCTAAAATATATGCGCACCTATTTACATTTGTCAAAAATAGCAATATGGTTTTGTGGTACCCAAGATACCAGTTGTTTCCAGATCTGTTACGGAATTCTCACTCTCTCATTAAAAAACAAAACAAAACAAAACTGACGTTATTTAGTACTCTCAAGATATGTTACTGGTTCTAATTCAGATAAAAGGATGTCACAACTTTGAAGAGTTGTTAATTTTTGGTCCAGTTATTGTGGATAGGGATAGATCAATCAGTTCCTAGATAATTTAACTTTTTAGAACTAATTCAAGAAATAATTAGCTTGAATAATCCTTTAACTTAAAGAAACTGAAGAAGTGGTAAAAAAGAAAAAAATAATTTCACAAGGGAAACAATTAGGCCTGGATGTTTTTATAGATGAGTGTTACTAGAATTTCAAGGAGCATATTATATAAATTTTGTACAAACTTTTCTAGACTATAGAAAAAGAGGAAGTACTTCCTAACTCATTCTACAAGACCTGTGTAACTCTGGTACTTAAACCAAACAGAATCATTATGAGAGAGAAAAATTGTATATAGGTCTATTTCAGTCATGAATATAAAACTAAAAACTTTAAAAAAGTATATTAGCAAACTAAGTCCAACCACGTATTAAAAGAGATCAAACACGCAACCAAATTTGGTTTAGCTGATATATATGCAGAGATGGCTTAATGTTAGAGAATCTGTAAATATAATTAACATACTTAAAAGTCATGTAATCATGTTAATAAGAGGAGGAGACCCACTAATGAAATTCTAAAAATTTAGTATTGTATTGAATATTAATAGCATGTATCTGGGTATTTTGGAATGATAGGATTATAAGTACGATTTTCCGTAATTTTTAAATTTTCCAAAATTACTGTGTAATCAAAATTACTGTGTGCATATATATTTATATATATATTTGTAGCAGTATAGCAGTAGGTAGCATAATGGGAATTTGATTCCAATTATATTAAACTTGATTGTGAGCTTTGGAATTCAAAAATAAAATATAATTTTAGATTGGTTTCTATTTTTTCAAAAAGAATTTAATGATCTTGTTGTAAAAGTGTGTTATATCCCAAACCATTTTTGAACATAGGTGGAAGAATAAATAACTATTAGCTCTTCTAATTGTTATATTGAATTGGTTAAATAGGATAAAGATTTACAGTGTGGTATAGGTACTTTGATCATAAAATACTAATAAGCATAAAATACTAATAAGTTTGGTGGTGTTGTGGCTTTTTATAGGGTAGAATTAATAAACTGAAAAGTTCTTTCTTTGAGTGGTTCTATAATTGAATTTGGAAATTGGTATAATACTTATGATCTCGCTGTTGATTGATCTTCTTTTGCTTCAGGAAGAGCCTGAAATTATCATTTGATAATGAAGAATATGGATTTGATTTTTAAAAGTTATTTTAACTTTTAAAACTCAGTATTGTGAGAGATCTTTGAAATTACTCTTTTGTTCTTTTTGAGCTGTTTTTAAACCCTGGTTTGTAGTTTCAGGGTGCAAAAATGCTAATATAACTGCGAATACATCTGAATCTGCACTATATTATAGATTAAAAGCTTTGTGTGGGGATGGTTCGTGATAATTTATTGGTTGACACATGATCATTATGAGATTAACCATTATAAAGTGGCAGCTTATTTATATTGGTATTCTCATAGTTATTATTTTTTTATGTTTAATATGATGGGTTAAAAATGGCTCCTCTGCTGGCCAGTTAGCTCAGTTGGTTAGAGTGTGATGTTATAACATCAAGGTCAAGGGTTTGGATCCCTATACCGGCCAGCTGCCAAAAAAAAAAAAAGGCCTTACTTTATTAGTTAAAAGAAAATAGAAGAAACATCCTGTATATTAAATAGGCTTGTTTAAAAATCATTATATTTTAAGTAAATAAAATAAAAGGGATGTAGGAAAGCATGGCTTAGATACCCAAGGTGGCCCACAATTTTATAGAAGTTCTAATGTGGAATATTTGAGATCATTTGAACAAAACCTTGAAAATTACCCCCCCTTCTGGGACCAGACACACCCCACAACCAGGCATATTGCCAGTGCCAAGGAGCATACCAAAAACAGCACCTTGGTGTGGGTGGCCCACCACAGCCTCCACAATAACCATGGCTGCCGTGAAAGCGACTAGACACCACAACCACCATGCAAATGGTCCGCCAACCACTGGAGTGCATTGAAACAAGGTCTGAGTCACCAGCAGAGATAAAGAAAAGAAGAGGATGTCTCTTTCCACAAAGCCCATTTCAGAATGACAGAAGCAGCATCTGCTCTATGACAATACTGGGGGACCCGATCGCATCTCTCAGCATTGGACAGATCATCTAGGCAACAAATTAACAGAGTAACCATTATTCTTTCAGAAGGAGAGAAGAAATCTAGGGTAATTAGAAGGGGGATGGGAAGGAAATAGGGGAAGAGGAGAGATTGGACAAGGGGCATAAAGAATAATTACGATTTGTAACAATATATATGCTAGTAGTATTGATTTGATCAACATATCTCAATGTTCAACCCCCAAAATATGTATAATTGATTTTGATTCAATAAATAAAATAAATTTAAAAAAAATTACTCCCCTTTTATTCCTTTTTGCCAAGCCCTTATCTATTACCTGAGACTTAGAAAAAATGCATTTACATGGATTTATGTACAGATGCATGCAAATACAGTAGTATTCCAAAAGTATAAATGGGAACAAAGCAAACTTACTGTTCTGTGTTTAGCATTTTAAAGAGAAGTGTTTTTATTTATTTATTTTATTTTTATTTTTATTTTTTTCCTTTTTGTCCCTCTTACTGACCGGTAACGGGATTGCAGCCCTCAGTGTCGCGCCCGCACCGGGGACCGGCAACGGGATCGCAACCCTCAGTGTCGCGCCCGCACCGGGGACCGGCAACGGGATCGCAACCCTCGGTGTTGCGCCCGGACTGCGCTCAGCTAGCGAGCAGGAACCGGTCTCCACATGGGATCCGAACCCTCGGCGAGAGCGCCGCCGCACTCCCAAGCGGCACACTCTCCAGTGCGCCACCGGGCCGGCCCAAGAGAAGTGTTTTTAACCCAGATGGATTTTAAGTGGTATAGATTTCTGAGAAGTGATTGGTTTTTTCAATCCAGTGTTTTCCCTTTCTGCTAAGTATTATTCTGGGGAGTATAATAAAAATAATCATTACTGTATCATTTTATCAGCCTATGGAGTAACAGATTAAATGTTTTCCTCAGGTTTCATTTTGATATTTATTAGAACCACTGTATATTGGCTCCTGTGTACATCATCCTTTTTAGAAATAATGCAATTTTATTTAAGTGCTAAAGCAAATGGATGCCTAAACTGTTACAAGTCTCATTCTGAAACCAATGTGAATAACCATTTTCTACTTGTATATTTGTCACTTTATAATATAGAATTACCTTATAACGTACTTTGGCATGCCTATTTGGTGCCTCTTTTCGAAGTTGTCAGACAGTGCATGTTTTTATTGAAGCCCTCATTACATTATATTTATAGGCATTGATTCTCTTTCTCCTCTTGAGAGTAAGCTTTTTGAGTATAAGGAATGTCTTTTTCCTCCCAATTGTGTTATTAAATATTGAATATATACATAAAATATTTATGAAATTTATGTAAGGTATAAAGTGTAAGTATAGATTGAGCCAGTATGTACTCCTGCCCAGTTTAAGAAATAGAGCCTGTCACCTTTGAAATTCATATGTGCTTCCCTGATCCTATTTTGTTTTTTTCTGCTTAGAGGTAAATACTATCCTGAATTTTTGTCTTATTCCTATGCTTTTCTCTATAGTTTAACTCCATATATTTTTCTCTCTTAGACAGTAGTTTATTTTCCATGATTTAGAACATTATAGAAACAGAATCATAATGGGCATATTTTGTGCCTTGCTTTTTCACTTTATGGTATGTTCTCAAGTTGCATCCATGGTATTGGTAGAGCCACTGGCTTGCTCAGTGCCTTTGTGAGAAACAGAAAGAGGCAATCCCCCTGTGCTGAAACGGCCCTCCGGTGAGCAGAACACACCTTTGTATAAAGGATAAGGTACTCCTTTCTCTGGACAGACGTAGCCCTGCATCAGGGTTTATGGTTTGGCAAATTGAACGTGGACTGAATGTTAGCTCCTACTCTCCCTGTTGGCTGGATGCCCATGTGCAATGCATAAAATGTACTGCCATCACAGAGTTGTCATCTGCATGTAGTTCATTAATTTTAACTGTTCTGTTGTATACTTCTATATAAATATATCATTTTATCCTTTCTACTGTGATGTACATTTGGATTATTTCCAGTTTTTTAATATTATTCACATTCTTAGACTTCATGGAAGTGTGTCTTTTAAGCCTCTTTTTCCAGCATAGTGCCTAGAACATGGTTGGTCTTCAGTAAATGTTTAAAAACTTGGGTTACATTCAACTGAAAAAATAACCTTGTGAGATAGACAGGACAAGTGCCGAAATTCCCATTTTAGCAAGGATGGAAGCAGTGCTCAGAGATGTTAAGTAACTTATCTCAAGATCATGCTGTTGGTCAGTGGCAGAGTTGAAGACTAGCGTGATGTTTGTTTGTTTCATATTCCACTGTATTGGGAAATATTATCTTCTGGAGAGTTCTAATTTATTCCAAGAGGTTGCTAAATGGAAGAATGCCTTTTAAATTGTAAAATCTTGGCTAAAATAGCTGACAACTGATGTACATCTCCTAGTGGGCATTTAATAAAATGTGGTTGATTGGATCAAGAATCTTTTATATTTTAAAATTCGAGATTAATGTTAAATATTTTGAGCCTTCCTGTGGTTATTCCTCACTCCCAAGATGTTCTCCAAGATATTTATCCCCAAATTATTTACCTTTCTCAAGGTTAAACTAAGCTGAATGCCTCTATGTTCTAATATCTATCATTTTACAGTAATGATCTCTAATGACACACATCTCCATGTAGCCATA